CCCGTCCCGCCCACTAATCACTAATCAATCTTTATTTACACTCACTCTTGCTCAAAATAAGAAATTACAACAATCCCCTCAAAAAAAATTAACGGTCCGTCTCTAATGGTTTTTGTCATTTCTAGAGTACTGTTCTCCAAAATTAACTTACTATCACTTCACTGTTACCAGTATCTTCTCGATTCTGATAGTTAGGTTCGTAATACGAATATATGTGTCTCAACCAAACATCGCCACACTGAGTAATTAAGGCTGGCTTTCGGTTGTACAACATTTTCAATCAGAGAACGTTGCAAAACTCAAAAATCTCTTTTGCCACTCTGAGCACACCACACTGGAACCAGGATCTTTTACAAGGTATTTTGCTGACGGTTTCCCTGCTCCTCCTGCGCTCGTCATAACACTCCACGCTGTCCAAGCTCCCCGAGTTATAACAGCCTCCAAACAGGTAAATCCGGTTGCCAAGTCTTGTGACACCAGCCGCCTGGCGCGGGACGGAGATGTTTGGAAGCGAGGCCCATTCCTCGGTGGCCAGATCCAGCACCTCGCAGGAAGAGAGGTACACCTTTGTTCTGCCAAGAATGGCAGAACAAAGGCACTACCATGGGATCTCCTATTTCACTGATAGTTGGCAACCTTTACATGGATGAGAAACCATAAACTGCGAGGGACCGCATACGATAAACGCTGCCAACGTAGGAACTACAAGAGATCTGATCAGCACTTCGAGAAGTTTGCCCTATCTACGGCACCCAATCCACCTGACATCTGGTATCGTTATGTGGATGACACGTTCACTAAAATGCACGCTGCCAACATTGATAGTTACACCCAACATATCAACAGCATTAACCCTCACATAAAGTTTACCAGCGAGCAAGAGGAAGACGGTAAACTACCCTTCCTTGACACGTGTGTCCATGTAAATGAAGATGGGAGCACAAAAACAGCTGTGTATAGGAAACCCACCCACCCGGATCAATATCTCAATTTCACCTCCAACCATCATATACATCATAAACGTTCAGTTGTGAGGACCCTCCTACACAGAGCAGAACACCTTGTTGGCGAGGAGGAAGATAAGGCAAAGGAAGTACGGCACATGCAGAATGCGCTACTCGCAAATGGTTACAAACGCTGGATGTTTTAAGTCCCTTTTCGACCCAGCCCCACAGGTCAGGAGAGCAGCACCTCGGGGTCACCTAGACCAACCTCCGTAGGCCTGCCTTATGTGTCTGGACTCTCAGAACATCTTAGTAGAGTCTTTAGGGCACAAGAAATCCGCACATACCACAAGCCTTACAACACGCTGAGGTCCATCTTAGTCCATCTTAAAGACAGGACACCAACCGAAAAGAAGACGGGCGTGGTATACGACATTACATGCAACGATTGCGGAGAGCATTACATTGGCGAGACAGCGAGAACTCTGGAGAAGCGAGTGGGTGAA